ACTCTCTTATTGAATTTGCAGAACCACATCTGTTTGCAAATGAGGATGCTGAAATCTGTGAAGTTTAAGTAACTTGTCAAAGTCATGCGGCTAGTGAATGGCAGATGCATCCAGCGAGGTCTCCGTCACCGACTGCACCGGGGCGGTGTGCCTGCCCTTCTCCTCGGAGCCGCAGAACAGCCACTTCTATCCAGCCCCAGGCGCACCCTCCTCACAATCTGTGTCCTTGGGGGCTGCTCTGATGTTGCCCTTACCTGCCTTCAGATTCTCTCCTGCCTTTTCCGTGCCTGTGGACACCTCACCACTACTTGAATTGTCTCCGTCTTGGCTTGCTTCTTCTGTGTTGCTGGTTTGATTTTGATTTAGGTTATTCTCTGATTTTTTTTTTCTTTTTTTTTTTTTGGTCATAGTGTGAAAGTATCTGCTTGGAATTGATCTTCACTAAAGTCAGCCAGCCTTCCCCTGGGAGCGTGCTGGCGTCTGTTACTTCTGCCTTCCCACCCATCACAGGGACCGTGGCTAGACCAGGCATAGTCTCTTTTCACCCCACAGACTTCGACCTCCAGGCAGATGCCCTTTTGAGATATCAAGGAATATAATTTCCCGGGTATATTTAATGCTGTGATAACAATTATTAACAATTCCATTCACATGTCCTGCTAAATACCACTATATGGAATGCTGATATGTAAGAAATAATTTTTAAAGACTGGATTCTTTCTGCACCTCCATTTATATTTCTGTAATTCACTGCCGAGAGATTTTTAGCACTTGCCCCTTATCTCAGACCCAGGCTTTTGCTTTCAGCTGCCTGTAGCACATCTCTTTTTAGATTTTCACTGTTACTTTCTTTGCAAAATGTCTAAAACTGGTCTTTTTAGATTCTCTTCCAAACTAAGCTTTTTTCCATTTCCCCATTCTGTCGAGAGTCCCTCTCCCTTTTTAAAAAAAATTTCATCAGGTCTAAAGGTCATGTAGTTATCTCAGAGTATTTCGTCTTCATCATCCACTAAGCAGACTATGGCATCAAAATCTAAACCTTGGTTGACTTTTTCATTCAAAACATCTCTCAGGCACCACAGCCTTCCAGCAATACCTTGTTCTAACACACCATTGCCACGTCCCACCTCCTGTCTCCTGTCTCTACATCCATCCAGCCATCCTGTATACAGCAGACAATTTTCCCAAGTAACTACTTTTATTATGTCATTATGCCTGCTACTGACTATTTATTAAGACCAAACTCTTCATCGTGAGAATTGAGAATTCAAACAAGTGGCTTTCCTCTCCCCCCACATTTCTGTTGCTTGGATTTGCCCTGTTGAAACTGTTTCCCCCATTCATCTGAGTAAACAAACCCTCATCCCTCATCCGTCGATAGCCCTGTTTAATGCCTCCTCCTCTGTGAAGCCTTTCCTGGACTAATTAATCACTTTATCCTCTGCGTTTTGTAGCATCCGTCCTATTATAATCCAGTTTACTGTTCATCTGCCTCTCTCTTGTATTTTCCCTTTGACTCTCAAGATCTTTAAGGGTAGGGAGCAGGTTTTGCTCGTATGTTACTCCCCAAGTGCAGCACAGTATCTGGCTTAGAGTAGGAATGTGTATGTGTTTGTAAGTGAATGAATTAGCGAATGAACGAGTGGTTGCTTCTTTTTTCCCATCAGGTTCTTTCTCAACTCTCCATTTCCTCACACTTTCCTTTTCTGAAATGCCTTTGCATGGGCCTCCAAAAATTCACATGCAATGCATGTTTGGCAGTAATTGAAAGGAGATGGAAATATTTGATAATACTGGAACTATTTAAATATAGGCACATATTCAACAACTCTAAGGAGTACAAGATGTCTATTACGTGTCTAAGGTGGTAGAATTTCTGGTCACTGTTAACACTGGACTTCTTTTAAACAGATTTTTGAAATTTCCCATTTTGCCAATATGCTGCTTTTCTGAAGTGGCAGATTGCCTAAAAAGGAGACCTTAAAATGCATTGCAAGGTGATAACTCCCTGTTAGATACTCAGCACAAACACGTTATTGCTTTGTGTGCATGTGGGTGCCCTGTGCACACACACACGTACACACCAGACTGTAACGTTCCTTCAAGGATCAGATCAAATTCTACCTCTTTTATGAAACTTTCCATAAATCAATCTATTTTACAGTAATGTTTTTCTCAAAATCCCTGTACCACTTCTAGTCTGTAAGAGAGAACTATTATTTCATTCAGGGTGGCAAACTCTTTTATCTTATCTCACATTAAAGCTAGAATTTCTTTCCCTTGTTTCTACACTCTCAGAGTTTCAGGAAGAGTGAGTAATTAACCAATACCAGCAGCTTTCCCTCTTGCTGCTGCTGTTGATTTTGATGGTGAGGAGGGCGGCAGACAGGGCTGACAAGCTAAGATCATTTTTTAGTGTTACAGGTCTTTATAAAAAATTAGCACCTTCTCTGCTGGAAACTCTTTGTAGTTCTGTTAAATGGTGTTTGCCTCTGGCTAGAATTTTCACTTTTAACTCCTCAGTTTAAGGCATCCCCTCTTCCAGGCCTGGGGAGTGTTTTCCTGCCAGGCTTTTTCTCCTGTCTTTCTTTCTTAACTGTATGTAAGCCTTTTTTTCTCGATTACACAATATTATTCTCTTCCACAAAGTGGAAGGTGAATCTTCTGCTAATGACTTGACATTTCTAAATTTAAACACTGCTTACTTAAATATTACTGACTAGGCAAAGGTCTATTTTTTGTTTTACTCCAGAAGCATGAAACAATATATCATATATAATTTATATTTATTTTATAAGGAAGTTTCTTCTTTGAAAGTTACTTTTGATTCTATTTTTAAAATTAAATAGCCCTTTGCTTTATATCATTTTGAAAAATCACATCTCCTGCAAACCAAGATATATTTAGTAAATTTTAACACTGTTCAATATGTACTTATTGTTGTTAACTGTTAAAAAATAACATTTAAATAAAGCATTGTTTTAAGTTCATTTTACACTATGATTTTTGATCAAGTTATTTAAGTGACTTAAGGAAGAGCAACCAATCACTATTTAAAGTGCTGAACATTATTTTATCTTCAGAATGAAATCCTATCTTTAATTGGTATTTCTTATAAATAAAGTAGTCATTGGTCAAGTTGAGGTATAAGTATACATTTCAAAATTTCTCCCACTAATCTAATAGCAGGTAATCTTAATCTATATTTTAAAATTGGACAAATGATAAGATTGGGTATCTGCTTTAAAATAATATTACCATTCTGATTTTGGAATTGGTACATGGTTTGTCTTTATTCTCTAGGTTTGGGCTACTTGTTTGAGATCCTATTGCTGCTTTTTAGTGTCCTTCAAATGAGCAATGTAAATACAAACCTTCTTGATCTTAAAATTTTAAATAACAAATTCCAACTCTGCTGTCTCTAGTTCATCTAGAATTAGGAAATTAATTCAAAAAGAAGTACATATAGTATTAGAGTACATTGTGTTTGTCACGTAATTCACTCTAAATTTGAGCTTCTCATTATGGTCTCGTAGGATCTAGAGCAGCCCTCTGGGATACAGTCATTGCCAGGTAGCCCTCTGATGGAGCCAAGACCACTGAGGCCAAACTCTTAGAACAAAGAGGGCTGAAGAAATTAGACACACAGATTGTAGACTATGAAAAAAAATCTATTAGAAAATAAAAGTTACATTGTATAGTTGGATGGCTAATTAATGAAACATACTAAATTTGCAAGCAAATGAGGATGAATAAAAATGTTTTTGTCAAGCCACATTTGAATCGACACACACACACAGATGCCCAGTTACCTATTCTTTTCTTAGTATATTTGTTCCCCATTTCCTTAAACCCAGGATTGGTGTACTCTCAGCTTGAAATTACGACTCACTCAGAAATAACCTGCTATTTATCTGCTGGCTCAAAACTAGAAGGCTCCAGGAGTGAGCTCAGAATTAGCTAGGGCAATTTAAGCATGGGTCTTTAATCTCTGTAATGATACTCCTCGGGTCCTAACTATCCAGCCGCTATTTAGCCCTTGTTATCTCTTGCAACTTCTTTTTTCTTTCCCTCTTTCTTCAATGAAGGCAGGAGGCCAGGAGGACTATTAGCTGCCAGCGTTTCTGTTAACAAAATCCAAGGTGTTTCTTTAAAACAGACTCTCTTACAAACAACAGAAAAGTACCTTTTCTTTACAGTTTATTTCTAACATAACAAATCAGCTTTGATTAGAGCAAATATCTGATGTCTCAACATTCAGAGACTAGAAGTCTTAAAATTTTTTGTCTTCACTACTATATGGTAATGGATTATTAAGACCTATCAATTTCTACTTATGTTTAATATTCTGAATTTACAAATGATCCAACTTGAAATGAGTGGTGCCTTTTATTGTTTGTTATGATCTCCTGGTATTCTTTTAGAAAATAAACGTGTGTGTGTTGTGGGCCTCTGTGGTGTGTGCGTGTGATGTGTGTGTGTGTGTGTGTGTGTGTGGAGGCTGCAGAAGGCAGGAGGGACAGAGAGAGACAACAAGCTTTTCAGATGACACTGGAAGTAAATGACACGCATAGCACAGGGCTAGCATTCTCATGTTAATTTACCTAAAAAGGGAAATTTGGGACTGGAATTATACTCTTAACACTATAGAATGTAAAAAGTAATCCTGAATCTTTTAAGTTTCACTGTGTGCCCACTGTCCAAACTTGCTTTAACCATCGTTAAAGCACAGAGTTGACTGTTTCTTACCCAGGTAGGGACCAATGCAGGTCATTGATTTTGTTTCATGTTATATTCAAATTAACTACCTTCATTTCAAAGTGACGTAAGGGGCATTTTGTCGACTGGGCATTTCTGTCAGCTCCATCTTTAGAGTTGATCCGTGCAATGTAGGACCGGGCATCAGCATCAGCTTGGTGACGCTCACCTGTGTATGTTGTCATGTGAGTTCTGCTCTCCTCCCGAGTCACCTGTGACATCGCCCATCTCCTATATTGCAGGAAAAGCAGAGGTTTCTGACAGATGTTCTGCACGAGGTGATGCTGCTGGACGGTCTGGCCAGTTCCCACCCAGTGTCGCAGGAAGTGCTGCAGGCAACAGATATCGACAGGGTGTTTGACTGGATCGCCTATAAAAAGGTAGGAGCAGATAAGACCCAAGTGCCAAGTAGATAATTTGCTCCTGGGGCAGCTAACTGATTTTGCTACATGTTCTGTTCTTCTCTTTTCCTAGTAAATAGAAATGGACTGTGAGTTAGAAAACTTGAGTCACCAGGTTCTTGTCACTTTATGAGTTAGGGCTTTGCTTTGTAAGTCTGTAAAATGGAGATGAGTATTTGCCAAATAATGCAAAGAAATATTGGAAGTATTAACGAATAAATGTTTGGAGACTTGATATGAAATGCTGTACAAATGGTGTTATGTAAATGTCGAGCTTATTATTATTAATAAGAGAGCTGACCTATATAGTGTCAAATTATTTTTTACCCGTGCCCCTTCAAATAGTTATTTATTATGATTGGCTGATGTAAATGAACATAGGCAGTGACATGACATATGCATTTTATAAATATTATTTAAGGGAGATTTTGGAAATTAAGGATATTTCTTGATAATAAGCATAATAAATGAAACTTCAAATATAAGACTTTAAATGGCAAAAAAATTCCAGACCAATGACTAGAAAAATAAGGTAAAATATGGATTTTTTCTGTTGTTACTTGCATTAAGATTTTTTCTTATATCTCTATCCTTAGTTTTTCTAGTTTTAACATGACAATATGCATTGTAGTGCTTAATACTTACCAGCCACTTTATAGGTAAAATAGTATAAAGTCTACCAATCCTATAGTGTA